CTAGAAATAGTCCAAATATTCATGTGGACTATGAATATTCATTCACATGAATAAAAACGTGTAACCTCAGTTAAAGTCAGAAAAATGCTAATTAAAATACAGTGAAATGCCACTTTCATCATTTTGTTCTTGGCATGCCTTTACATGTTCTTGGCATGTTTTCTTATGTTTAGCTCAACAATTAAATAATTTAAGAACTGAATCTAGTGTGGATTGTCTATCGTAAATTCACAGGCACTATTTTATGTTTTATATTTGGCATTCTGTCCATAATATGACTGGATTGAATACAGGGTAAATTTTAGACACCAGTGTTTATGGGCAAAACTGAGTCTCGTATGTTGCCAAGTGCAGGATTTTGTGTGAGCGTTTGTATGTGTGCATGATTTTAGCAGAGTACTTTTCTTCTTATGCTCATATTCAGGTATCAAAGTATAAATTATTAGAGCTACATTGTAGGGTGGCCATAGCTGGGAGAATTTGGAAGGTAGGTGGTTTGAAAGCATAGGTGGAGGGAACGCGTAAGAATGAAGTGGAAAATGGGGCAAGAAGCACTAGTAGTTATTTGCTTGTCCTTCCTTCCCAAAATGCCCCTGATACTCAATGACTGAAGATGGAGATTATACCCCACTACCATTACAGAGCAGCTCTGCTTCCTCTCTGGGCAGAGCCTGATCCCTCAGCAGCCCCATAATGGAAGCCTGGTACCCTGGGTGTACCACATGTTACTGGGGAGACAGAACAGGGGATATCTTTATATTTCCCAGTCCCAGAAATTCCAGCTTTTTAAATTGTTAAAGCAGGCAATTTGGAATGCTTTTACTTTTGTTAGGTAGACTAATTACAATTAGAATGTGGATTTCCAATGTCATTGTGCAACATCATTTTTAGAATTAGAGCTTTCACAGAAGAAAAATCCTCTTTAACCTTGTTTCTCTGATTTACTGTAATGGAAATGTCTCATGATGTTAATAGGTGTTCTGAGAAACGTTTCAACATGTAAATTTCAGTGCAGAGCATATTTTAGAATAATACACATTATTGTGTATTCTAAATACACAATATTTAGAGGCTCTTTCTTTCTTTTACTTCCATCATTTCTTCCAACTGAATTTTATTTTCTCCTTTCAAAAACAACCAACACTTCTCATTTCTCTCTTTCTTTCTGTGTGTGTGTGTGTGTGTGTATGTGTACAAGCAAGGTTCCAGCAGAAGTACGATTGTATGTATGACATTTGAAAAAAGAAGTTGTATTGTGAGGAATATTGTATATTCCTCACAATGCCTGGCATGAGGAAGAAGTTTTGTGTTGATTATTACTAGCTGGAGAGATACTATTATTTCTCCCGCTTTAGAGCTAGTAAGTATTGGAGCCAGTGCTTAAACCATATCTTCCATGTAGTGAATCTATTGAACCTATCCCACCATCCAGGATTTAGAACTCTTGAAATGTGTGACAAGATGAAATTAGGTTGTCTATGCTGTGACTTTATTATATAGTACTGTACAGCAAGAAAGATAATAGAGGAAAAATGTCCTTGATAATGTTTTTCTCAAAGGACCAATATCATTGTATAACCTAATTGATTTTGTTTTTTTAAGATTTTATTTATTTACCTTTAGAGGGGAAGGAAAGAGGGACAGAAATATCAGTGTATGGTTGCCTCTCATGAATCCCCCACTGGGAACTGGCCTGCAACCCAGGCATGTGCCCTGACTGGGAATCGAACCACAATCCTTTGGTTTACAGGCCTGCACTCAATCCACTGAACTGTATCAGCCAGGGCTAACCTAGTTGATTTTAAAAGCTTTATTCAGGGCCCTATCTGGAGATTTAATAAGATAGCTAAGGCATACGTGTGTTTCCTCACTTGTGTATAAGAAATAAACCAGAAACTGTTTGTGAATTGTTTATTTTATATTCAAGGGCACAGGGTCAAAAAAGATCTCTAGCACTCACTTGGTGTGTTTCCTGATTTATGGCAGGAATGTGACTAACCCATTCCCTAGTTGGTGTATTAACTCAACATCTGAAATCGGTAGGGGAACACATTACACAACTTTCATTACCATTTCTGTGGTAATGAAACGCAAACACACTTTTGTGTTTCCTAACTCTGCTGTTGGAAATGTTCAATTCCCTTAAGAATATAGGCTTCTAACATAGCAGGTATCATTAGCCTTATCAAGGCAAGTGTAAGTTAAATGCAATAGTTTAGCCTAGAGAATAGAAACTTTATTAATCTTCAAATCCTATAGATAATGCCTAGCACAGAACATTATAAGTAGTAGATGCCAAATGTATATTTATTAAATTGAATAGAACTGAAAAGCAGGGGAAAGGTTGTTGGGTTATCAAAGCACATTATGGACCAGAGCAGTGATTTTTAATTGGTATGCCACAAGAATTTTTAAAACATGCAATGCCTAACTATTTAGTCAGGGGCACTGACCTCTTTTCTCTTAAATTGTCAGGTAACAAAATGACAACAGCCTACACGACAATAGCTGTTTGATGTGAATGAATCAAAATTATACCTAATTTTTTGTTTGGTCAGTGAAAATATATTTTTGGGTGTGCCACAGAATTTCAGTGATTAGTTTATGTGTGCCATGAGATGAAGAAGGTTGAAAATCGCTGGAATAGATGCTTCACTGCTGTCTTACTCTCTCATTTCCTGAAATCAACATTTAGATTATGTTTTAACAAATTTTATGTGAACTAAGAAAACTGCTGACTTTTGATGAAGTTTATTCAAGTATTCATTCAGTGAATGTTTGTTGAACACCATATGCTAGGTACTGTCCCAAGTTTTGAATATTTTAGATAAATGCTATGCTTTAAATAATAGTAATACCAAGAACCTCAAATGATTCAAAACTAACAGTCCCTGATGTGAGAGTTCAATGAGATCTTGCTCAGAGTTTACTATGAACACTTAACTAAATGTGGTTATGTCTTTTTTAAAATACTGATAATCAATAATATCAACTCTATTAATACCACCATTAATGAACCTGTGCCCCACCATCTAGAACCATGAAGTTACAGAGTAATCGTGAATTAAGAAACACAGTATGACTGCTAGAAAGAATAGTCTAGGAATTCAGAAACTAGCCTTTGAAATGTTGTCACCTGTCAAGTCACTGAATTCTGCAGAATTAGCTTCCCTAACTATAAAATAAAATAAACTAGAAAAATGCTAAAGCCGCTTTTAAGTCTGATATTCTATAATATTTAATTAACTAAGATCTAAATAATTCTAAATTCCAGGAGGAAGATGAGCTCTACATGATCGGTTTGGACTCAATTCCTATCAATGATGCAAAGATTACCCTCTTCTGTATTGTGACATTAATGTATTGAATATATACAGATACACAAATATGTACATATATAATGATCATTTTTTAAGGTGGTCACCAAAAGTACAGCCTTACAAGATATTCAACCCTTCTGGGTTTTGCCAGGTATACCTGATTTAGCTACATCACGAAGTTCACTTCCTTTTGTATATTTTCTTTACAAATGTACAAATAGCAGAGCAGTTGAATAAGGATGGAATTGGGGGTGGGGTGATTAGTGCACATTTATATTATGGACAAAACTTAATTTTTAAAGTTAAAAGGTTTCAAACTTCAAGGAGTTTAGTTTGTTATAATTGGATTTTAGATAGCTCCTCCAGATGACCTTAGATATGAAAAAAGGGAGAAAACAATGGGAAGAAAGTTTAAGTCTGGGGGAAGAAATAACAGAGACATTTTTTCCTTTCTTTTCCTCCCTCCCTCCCTCCCTCCCTCCCTCCCTCCCTCCCTCCCTCCCTCCCTCCCTTCCTCCCTTCCCTTTCTCTTTTCTTTTTCTCTTTCGTATTTCTTTTCCTCTTTTACAATTTAGATAAAAAGAATACTGCAATGAAAAAAAACAAACAAACACAAGCTAGATTAGGCAATAGCGCTGAATAGGATTTGGCGAGCCCCACGTCAATAGGTTTTTCGGAACACGGAACCACAGGAGCCCCAAGTTCCTATTGCAGGAAGAACTGGATGAACGAAAAACGGTTTTATTTCTGCTTCAGTAGCTTTTAAATACTTTCTGCAGGTAGTCCCCTAAGTCACCTGACTCATAAAAAAAAAATCCCTCACATTTGTAAATCTAAAATGTTGAGATATGCGTTTCAAATAAAGATGCAAACTTCTGTATCAAAAGCATTTCATTCAAGCCAAAGATCTGAACTAACACAGAATCCATCTCAAGAGATTTCGTACCCCTTGCTTCCCCCATAGTAGGCCAGGATAGCCACAGCGCATGACTGGGCTTCAGCACCACTTCAGACTCAGCGTGCCCAAGGCGCCCGGGCAACTGGCTCCCTCTCTCCCCCGGCGCCCTCCCGGGGTCTAGGGGCGGGGGTCCGTGGAGGCGGTTCCCTCGGAGCACCCAATCAGCAGCGATGCCCGGCGGTGGCGCTAGTGACGTAGGCTGCGCTTCCCTCCGCCCTACTGCGGTCTCCCAGCACAGTAAAAGGGTGTAGGAGGACTTCAGGGCCCGCGGGTTGTCGAGGGCGGCGGGTCGCAGGAAGGGGTAGAGAGAGCATGCGCAGCGGTTCCGCTGAGGGGAGGGAGGAGGGGACCCCGGCGCGCGCGCGCAAGAGCGGCCAGCCGGTGGCCGTGGGTGGAGGGGGCGGTTCCTCGAGTGTCTGCGGCCGGAGGGTGGGTAGGCTGGCGGCAGGTGCCGCCAAGGCCACTGCTGCATCCTCCTCCGGGATCCTGGTCTCCCAGTCCTCCGGCGGTGATGAGCTGGACTCCGTCGGTGGCTGCACCTGCCGGCTGCCCATCACTCCGAGCCTCCCAGCGTGACCTCGGCCTCCTACCGTGCCCGATCCCCGCGTCGCGGTGCTGCCCCTGAGAGGGAGCGGGAGCGGCCTCCTCCGCCCCAAGTCGTCGCTTGGGGGCCGTGCGGGAAGAGCGCCCGGCTCCCTCCCCTCCCCCGTCCGCTGTCCTCAATGTCTCCCCGGCGGGGAGGGGGCTGCCTGGGAGACGCGCTGAGCGGCACCCCCCGTAGGCCCATCGGCCGCAGCAGCAGCAGCAGCGCCCAGCCCGTCGCCCCGCAGCCTTATCCCGCGGCGGCGGCGGCCTGGAGGAGCAGCGCACCCGCCGCCGCTCCCGGAGCCTCACAGCCGCCGCCGCCACTCGGCGCCGGAGGAGAGGGCAGCGGGCGTCCCCCGGGAAAGATGAAGGCGGAGGCGGGTGACCACTCCATGATCAACCTGTCGGTGCAGCAGGTCCTGAGCCTCTGGGCTCACGGGACGGTGCTGAGAAGCCTCACGGGTAATTGATGCGCACAGGGTGGGGACAGGGATGCGGTGCTACCTTTTGCCTCTTTTCTCCCAGTAGAGCAGAGGAAGCGCTTGTTGCCGCCCCACCCCCGTGTGCGTCCCTTTGGGAGTTCGCGATCCTAAGTCCTGGCGAGGAAAGTGTTAATTGGATCTACTCCGCGTGGGTTCCGGGGGCGCCGATGCCCACCATCCGTTCGCTGCCATTCAGAGGCTTGCGAATTCCGGCTGGGGGAATGAGTATCCACGACCCCCGCCATCTCCCTTGCTGGTGGCGGGGCCCGTGGCCCTGCCTTCTGTAGTAAGCGTGGAACAGCATTGGTGCTGGGACTTAAGCACAGTTAGCTTTTATTTATCCCCGCCTTCCCCCACGCGCGCGCACACACTCATACACACCCCGCTTTTTGCTGTTTAGATTTTTTTTTGTCTGTTTAGATCTTTTTCTTTCTGGCAAATATAAAATGAATGCAGAGCTTAAGTTTCCTGATCATGATCAATTTGCTTCAACTGTTAAATTTATTTTGGAGGAACATATAGATGACAAGTCGATTATTGTGGGTCGGGCTGGGCCAAGGACTAGTGCATTCTAAGCATTTTAGTTTTACCATATATAACTCTTTCTGCTCCTATTTCCTTTTGTCTGTCTGTCTCTCTCCCTCTGGCCTCAAGCTGTTGCCTCTGTGACATCTGATAATTTTGTGTATTTCCCTTCATTTGTCAAGGCCCTCATGAGAGAATTGGACTGAACTGCATTAGAGTAATTAACAGGAACTTCTGGTTGTAAACGTGAGCAGTAATAGGCATATTTTTATCGAACTTCTAGGTTTGCTTTGTGAAGAAACTTACAGTTTTGTTAATGTGGAAATGCTTATATTGTTATAATCTGAGTTCTGAATTTAGGAAATACCCTATAAAATTAGTATTTACAAGAAAGGTTCATTTGCAGTTTGGTCACTTCTCAGTTCCTGATCCTCAGAGAAAAAACTTAAAAACATAGGATTTGATTCTTGAAAATTTATAAGGCAGCTGATTTTGGTAGAATACTGGTATTTCAAAATGCATTATGTCAAACTGGTTAAGATGAGGGAGGGTATACTACAGAAATAACCTGTCTTGACAGGACACATATATGTGTATGTAAGAATGACAGAGACACTCATCTCCTTGAATGTAGAAACGATAAAATTAACATAGATTCTCAATTGACTCATGGTGTCCTCACTTCTAAGACATGGTTATTTAACTTAGAGAAAACTGACCTTACATGATGGTTTCAGGTTGGGAACATGTTCTGAGTTTTGGAAAACTACATTTACATAAAGACCATGATTCAACTGAATTTAGGGATAGACTGCTTTATCTTATGGCTTTGCTCATATTTTTTCACTGTTAATATTTCAAATGTTGAATCAGTTATGTGTATTTGAATGAAATGAAAATAAGGACTTAAGAATACAGGTATAGTTGTGTATGTTAATGACTGACTTAGCTCATTGATGAGCATTTAGAAAAAAGTTAGCTTTGGGAGACAAAAAAATGTAAATGTAACTTATCTCTTGGCTAGATTTGACAGTATTTTAAAATATTTACTTTAAGATTCTAATCATTATCTAGTGGCTTCTAGTTCCATAAGTCAGTCATTAGATTACTAATAATAGTTTCTCCCAGAGTTAAGTCTTATTATTTCCTAATACAATCTTAAGAATTGTCAGTTGCTCATTGGACTTTGCCATTTTGTAGAGGATATTTGAAACATTCCAAACTAGGACTGAGTAGCAAATGAAACCTCTTCTAGGAAATAACTAGAGTGTTAGTATGCAAAATTTTATTTTTCAGAGTAAAAATAGAGAAGGAAATAGAAGTATTTCACCAGCAGGTAAGTATACCACATGGTAGAAACCATATCATTTCTTGAAAAATGGACTTTGGAAGTGGTAATATTCTGATGTGGTTCATTGTGGCCTCCATACTGGTGACATATGTAGGGTAATCGTTAGTCAAGATATGCTACCTACGATGTCATTTAGAACTTGGTCTATTAAAAAAAAACTAAAACATAGTTCTTGCTATGTGTCAGTTACTTTACATATATTATTTCTAATCTTCAGAGTAACTCTCCAAAGTAGATTTACAAAGAAGTCCGAGGAAGTAAATTAAGTTACCCCAAATCATGTAGCTAGTAAATGGCTGAGCTAGGCTTTCAAAACAGTCTTTGCCTGCAGAACTACTTTTTCCCCTTTTCCAGGATGGTATAGCTACTTCCTCTTTACCCTCTTCAGACAATGAATTACTTGCTTCATCCTGCTACTTCTGCTCCTTGTATATGCTTTTTAATTATATTTTAATTACATTATAATTTTTATTTATCTATTCTAGACCATGAGATTTTGGGGGATGAGTCAATGTCTTAATCACTGCATTCTGGAACCCTAGAATTATAGTTCCTGACACATAGTAAATGCTCAATATATCTTAATGAATTTTAAAAATAATACTTAACAGTTGCATGATTTAAACATTCTAGTTGCATTATTTTTCATCTACATCTTTTGGAGGAAATATGCTGTTAACTGGGGAATGAGATGTTCCAGTAACTTTTATAAATAATTGTCATACCTTTAAAACACACAAATGCTTATTGAATGTGCCTTTTTCTGCTAGTTAACCATACTTTCATGAATTTTATTTAATCTTTTCAACAATCTTGAGAGAATATTTATCTTTATTTTACACATTTGGACTTTGAAGTGAAGAGTAATTTGCTTACATCCGATAGCGAATAAATTAAGAATTATCATAATTTTTCAAATTATGATAATATATTATTGGGTCAGAAGCTCTTTTTTTGTCTTTGTAATATACTTATAAGAGAAACAGGTATTAGAATGGAACATAGTAGAGAACCAGACTGATTTGGATTCAAGAAATGACTGATGATTTTATAGAAATCTGGTTAGTAGGAATTCTGGTTAATTAAAAGAGGACATAATCTCATCTTTATTTTCCTTATACAAATTAATGGGTGTGATTTTTTTTCTTTTCTTTGTATCTGATCCCATAGGAGAAGTGGGAAAATTTTTATATTGACCTTTTTATCTTAGAAACTGACCTTTAGAAAGCAGTCTTGAGTATTACTTTGATAGAAATAAATGTTTAAAAGTGACAATAAGAACCAGCTTAACATTTTAGAACTAGGAGTTATGTAGTTCAGCTACTTCATTTTAGAAATATCAAATGTCACATTCAAGTGACATGGCAGGGATCAAAATGTTGCTTAATGATAGAGGCAGGACTGCAACTAACCTTTCCTGACACTTAGGTCTGTGCCTTTTCCTTTTGTTTCACGTAGCTTTTTTTTTCCCCAGGAAGGTCTGTTGGATGACTAATCTTAATTTATTTAAGAATAGCCCGGTAAGTATTGCAGTGTTTGTCCCAGTGAGCCCAAGTGTGCGACTGGAACTATTAGGTTGGTCACAGAGTCCATTTCGGTTTTTTCATAAAATAAAAGACACATTTTTTATTTTCATCAGTAACTTTATTTTTTAATATATTTTATTGATTATGCCATTACAGTTCTATTCCCTCCTTCATTCCCCTCCACTCTGCACCCCCGTCCCCCACCATTCTCCCTCTTTAGTTTATGACCACGTGTCTCAAGTTCTTTAGATTCTATATTTCCCATACTATTCTTGCCCTCCCCCTATCTATTTTCTACCTACTGTCTATGCTACTTGTTTTCTGTACCTTTTCCCCCCTTCTCCTTCTCCCACTCCCCTGTTGCTAACCCTTCATGTGATCTTCATTTCTATGGTTCTGCTCCTAATCTAGCTGTCCTCTTAGTTTGCTTTTGTTTTAGGTGTGGTTGTTAATAACTGTGAGTTTGCTGTCCTTTCACTGTTCATCTTTTTTATCTTGTTTTTCTTAGATAAGTCCCTTTAATATTTCATATAATAAGGGCTTGGTGATGATGAACTCCTTGAACTTGATCTTATCTGAGAAGCACTTTATCTGCCCTTCCATTCTAAATGAAAGCTTTGCTGGATAGAGCAATCTTGGGTGTAGGTCTTTGGCTTTCATGACTTGGAATACTTCTTTTTAGTCCCTTCTTGCCTGTAAGGTCTCTTTTGAGAAATCCGCTGACAGTCTGATGGGAACTCCTTTGTAGGTGACTGTCCCCTTACCTCTTGCTGCTTCTAGAATTCTCTCCTTCATTTGAATCTTGGCTAATGTAATGATGATGTGCCTTGGTGTGTTCCTTCTTGGGTCCAACTTCTTTGGGACTCTCTGAGCTTCCTGGATTTCCTGGAAGTCTATTGCCTTTGCCAGATTGGGGAAGTTCTCCTTTATTATTTGTTCAAATAAGTTTTCCATTTGTTGCTCTTCCTCTTCCCCTTCTGGTACCCCTATAATTCGGATGTTGGAATGTTTAAAGATGTCCTGAAGGTTCCTAAGCCTCTCTTCATTTTTTTTGAATTCTTGTTTCTTCATCCTTTTCTGTTTGGTCATTTTTTTCTTCCTTCTGGTCCACTCCTTTGATTTGAGTCCCAGTTTCCTTTCCATTACTATTGGTTTCCTGTGCATTTCCATTCATTTCAATTAGTTTAGCCTTCATATGTTCCTCTAATTTGTGACTAAAATCAACCAGTTCTGTGAGCATCCTGATCACCAGTGTTTTGAACTATGATCACTTAGATAAATCTTCATCACTTAGATTTATCAGCTCTGGGGCTCTGAATTGTTCTTGAACCATGTTTTGATCTGTTCATGCCTGTTATGTATGAGGAGCAGAGCCTTAGTTGTTCACCAGGGTGGGGCCACCCAGGTCACTGGTTTGTGACGCTGTATGTGGGGGCAGGGTCAGAGAGGGACAATGGCGGTTCCATGTGCTGCTTCCCACCACTGGGGCCTGCATGGTCTGTCTCACTGCTTCACTCCTTCACGGGTTTATCTGCGCGCAAATGTGTGACCAAGATCAGCCCTCAGTGGGTCCACCCG